ATTTTTGATTATAATGTATACCTCTTCTTATTTGATAAATGTTTGAATGCAATGCCTAGGGGTGGGAGTGAGAGAGATACAACTGGAATCCTGATGTGGTCCGAGGTTTTCCTTGTCAAGACACCCTTCGGAAAGGAGGTGGCGGTCGCTCTCATGGATACACAGGTACTCGTTTATTCAATCCTATTCAATTTTCAGAACTGTTGGGTGGAGGGGAGGGATATCTTATTTATGATCAGACTAAACCTGGAGGGAAGATAAGACAAAGATTTATTAGTCAATATTTCCAGACAAATATAACTGCTTTTCTGCTTTTTTAATTACAAGGCTTTTAATTAAGGCGATTTACTTTACACTGTTTTCCTATTAACCTGTTTTAGTGTTTAAAGCTCATTTTGAAGTTTCCATTTTTTTCCCTGTCAAATTTTTCAAACCGACCAGATTTATTTTTAATATAAATATTTGTCAGGGTTCTTTTGATAAGAGCAGTACAGTGAGGGACACAGCAACTATATTTGCACTTTCATTAATGACAAGCAGGTTGGATTTCTGCCGTTTAAAGGGACTGTCAGCGTAATTTCAAGTGACCCTCCATGCTAAGATGACGATGTCCGATTAACAATGGTATCCTTAACATCATTGTCTGATCGAGTATGAATTAGAATGTTAAAAATTTTGAAAACTAATTATTTTCGACTGTGGTTTCTCTACATAACAGATTTGCGCATTTCTACTGCTGAAAAGCATTTTACGAATTGAAACCTTTTAAATCTCGGAAAACGACAATATCTTCTACATTATTGATCGGTTAAAGGTATTCAGGGTACCGTTGTGAATATGGTATTTTAATCTTTGGATGAAGGATCACTTAAAATCACACTTGCAGTCCCTTGAAATTCCATTATTTTATTTCCTACTTAAACCATACACATTTTATACTATCTATTTTATAATATTTTATTTCATACTTAAACTATACACATTTTATACTATCTATTTTATAATTGATATTGTTTTATTTTCCAATGGAATGATTTTGTGCTGTTAAAAAAAGAATAAAAGGGAAAGTGGTTTTAAGATCTAACCAAAAATTCGTTAATTTACAATTCACTTTAATTTTTGATCAAAATACTGATGTTTATGAAGTCTATTGGAATTTTCACTTATTTCTTTAATGAATTTTGTCATGTGTATTGTGTTCATGAGGGGGATTAATTGATTAATTACTTATTCAGTGTTCTGGTGTATAATCTGTTCAATAATATTCAAGAAGACGACCTTCAACACCTTCATTACTTCACAGAATATGGCAGGTAGGAAAAGCCCGGTCATAAATCAAGGGTCTTAATTTTTTTTACAATCAAGTTTTACAAATTACTTTTCGGCGAATTAAAATAAAAGATGAAACTGTCTAAACCCTTGATTGTATAAAGGATGACGTAAGCAACGATAAAACCCCGACTGAAAAAAAAAAATAGTTTTTTTAAAGAGCAAATTTCAAATTTTCAGAACAACAATTCGAATTTTAAAAAATGTCATTCAATTTGGTGCAGCTGTTTGGCTAGCCATAGCTAACATATATGTATACAATAGAAAAAGATAGAGTCGTCATTCCCCCACCTCCCCACTCCTCCCCCCCCCATTTCCTGCCTGGGCTAGCTGGAACCCCCTCCCCCTTACCGTTACCGTGTACATTTTAACTAATATTCCGTCGTTGATGTCACTGAGTCTGTAGAAAGTTAAGAAAATACACATGATTCGCGCTTGCAAGAAATGTTTTTAAAATCTACATCTACCTGATTCCGCTTGTACTCAAGTATACAAATATATATGAGCGAAGAGCTTTTATTAGGAAAAAAAGATAATAAAAAATTATTTTAGATTAGCTCTGGAGGATTCTGGTGAGGTTCCCTTCCAGCGTCTCCAGTTTCTAGTCAGAGATTGGCAGTATGCATATGAGGTAAATACCCCTCCCCCCCCTCTTTTCTTTTTGGTGTATGGCATGAGATAATGTCCGGGCTATTGTATTCCGGTTCTTCAACATCAAAATTGAAAATATTTTAATATTTTTCTTTATATATTCAGATATTACTACTAATTATTACATAATTTGTTCTAGAAATAGAAGATTAAATATTTATGATTGTTACTTCTTTGATAGAAAGAAGACATTTAAGACGGAATAAAGTTTTTTCTAGCATTGCTATATTGAAAACTTATTTAAAAATATAATTTACGTTTAGCAGTTGTTTTCATTACATTCATGAATTCATATTTATGGAGTGTTCAAATTATTTTTTTTTAAAAGTCCAACACCCGGGTCTTTTTTTAAGGTCACACTGTTTTTTTTTTCTTTAACTTTCTCTTATTTTTTCTTTTTTTAGGAGGCTTATGGAGAAAAAGGAGGACAGAATATTCTGGATAAACAGTTGAAAATTGATGAAAAGCAGCACACAGAACTACAGGCCCTAAGGTAATGTTTATAACATTTCATCTATTTATTTTAAAATATAAATATTTTTATTTGAAGAAAAAAAATTTTCCATAAATTATTTAAAAGCATATTAAAATTGAATATAAAACCGTCAAATGACATAGCTGATCTGCCCAACTTTTTTTTTGATAACTCGCATGACCCCAGGGAAGGTAAAAAATGAAAAATTGTGCCGGGGAAGAATTTCATTTCGCACGATTTTTAAAAAACGTTTTGTTCATGGAAAAATGGCAGTTTAAAATTCAACAGTTAAAAATCTTTTACCGTACGGTAAAAGTTAATACAAACCTAGATTCATACATTTTTATACCTTGGTACGGAACAACAGGCTTTCTAAAATAATCTCCTGTTCAGAAACAGTAATCCGTTAAGGAGAAAATTGACTCGCTGTTTATAAATATTGACCAGTTCAGAAGCAACCTAACCCCTTGTTCAGAAATATTACGTCTTCATGAGGAACCTGAGCTCATGTTCAGAAATATTCCCCTGTTCAGGAGCAATTTCTATCTCCTGTTTACAAATATTATTCTGTTCAGAAGCAACCTGACCTCCTGTTTATAAATATTATCCTGTTCAGGAGCAACCTGATCTCCTGTTCAAAAATATTATCCTGTTCAGGAGCAACTTGACCTCCTGTTTCTCTGAGATGTCCTGTTTCCTGCTGCCCCACCCTGGGAAGCATGTTGCCACGAACCCCAACTTCAAGGGGGAACTCAAGGATATAGATGAGGAGTTTCTGGCGTATCTACAGGTCGGATATTCACTCATTCATTCATCCTTTCATTCATTCTTTCATTCATTCTTTCACGCAAATATTCATTTTGATCATCTATTTATTCATTCTTCCTTCCTCGAATAAACTAACTTTTTAATTTATTTATATTCTTTGCAAATTCACAAATTCACTGATTCATACTTGTGTCTCCTGTCACATCTGTTTATCATTTCTAACCTTAATATTATCAATACATAATTTCACCTGATACCCCATTTATAGAGTGGCATGTTCAATTTATATTTATAAAAATAGTAATCTTTAAATCTTTGTCTAATCATGAGATATCCTTATTTTACTCTCTCAACATGTTTTAAGAACCATTTTGTTACTAAAATAGAGCTAGGAAGGGTACCGTTGAGAAAGGAATGTCACTTTATAAATGAAGGGTCACTTGAAATTACGTATTCAGTTTTCATAAATATTTCTGCAACATTTTACTAATTTTGTTTGCCCTTCATAAAATATATTTTGTTTATTTTGCATAAATTCTTCATTTTATTTTTTCATTCAGGAGTTTATGCCCCTCCTGCTGTCCCCCCGTAACCTTGTGATAAAGTCCCAAGGAGGGAAGGAGGTTAAAACCAAGGAGATAATTCAGTTCTTTAAATCATATATAGACGTTTTCAGGGTAAGAGAAAATTTTTGATGAATAAAAATATCTGGACAAAATTTGGGGGGAAAGATTGGAAGGGGGGGGGTGGAATTAATACATTTTAGGAGATGAAGAGGTAAAAAGGTTTGGGTTGGGGGGGGAGGGTGCATTCCTCTTTAGCTTAAAATATCCCACTAAAAAAGATGTAAGGCCAGGTTAAGAGTTTTATGAAAAGTAATTTACTTAATTTCAATTAATTTAATGTTAGTGAATAGTCGATTGATAATTTGAATATTTGACAAAATCATAATTGCTTGTTTGCTTGATTTACGGATTGATTTACGGATTGATTGATTAATTGATTGATAGATTGTTTGTATTCTCAGGGGAACAGTATGCCAGAGCCTAAGTCAATGCTTGAGGTCACCATCGAGGTCAACAACCTCGTGAGTCTGGCCTCCGCCAAGGAACTGTATACGGCCTCTATGGAGAGCTTATGCGGAGGAGACAGGTTAAGCTCTTCTATCTATCTATCATGACTCCCCCAAAAACACAAGTGTTACCAGGTAACCACCCCTCCTGGTAACCCAATGCCCCCTTCCGGGGTACATCACAGAGATAGCATGACATGTGCAATGATACTGTTATGCTCGAGAGGCAGTAGCCGTAGCCGTGAAGCCCCAACTACCGTGGCCTGTATCTTAGTAAAATACAATGTGTCCTGAAATAATGTTGTTCCTAGCTTTCGTTTGATATGCATGAAGCCATAGTTAAAAATTTTGAATTTTGAGGTTGTTTGAGGTCATTAGAAGGCCAAACACTGGATTCGTTGCTGCTACGTTGTATTGCCTGGCTTCCTAGCTTTCGTTTGACTTTGATATGCATAAAGCCATAGTAAACCATTTTTATTTGTCGAGGTCATTAAAGGTCATTAGTCTCCAATTTTATTTTTGGAAAAAAAGCTTCCTAATTAGGCGTGCAGCAAAAAAAATGAGAGATTTGAACCAAAAGTGTAGGCAGGCAACCCCCCCCCCCTTCTCATCAAATAGGACATCTTTGTAGCTAAATCGGAGAGAATTAATAAGATTTTGGAAATAAGTTTGAAAGCGAGTTAGAAAGTAAGAAGTTTGAAAAGAGCCTTATGTCCCATATCTTTGCAACTTTTGTAAAAGTAAACTAAGTATTGAAATAATTTGGCAGCTTTTTATCATAAGCTGTTGACAGTATTAGACATTTATATTTGATAAGGGAGCACATGGGACATTTTAACTTTTAACTTTAATGAACTTGGATTTTGAGTTTGACAGATTTATGTATACTGCTTCCCGCATTTGCATTTTTGCACTTTTTTATTGTTTAGACCTTACCTGAACGAGCAAGTTCTTGAGATTGAGCATAAACGGATTCTAGATTCAGCCATCTTGGAATTTGATGCCAGGTAAGTCAGGGGAAATTTTTTCCAGGTAAATTTATCCATGCAGGGGGGGGGGAAATTTGGTGGTTTTGGTTTAGGAAATAAAAATATAACGGGTGAGCACTGAGCAAAAAAGATTCAGGACTTTTGAATATATATTCTTATAAAAGCTGAAACACTATGATTACATGACTAAACCAGATTTTTGGTATAAGGTTTCACACATAGGTTATACACATGTATACTTCTTTGATTCAAGTTTCATCAAAATCAAACTCTGTTCTGATAGTCATCTTTGTATATTTGTTCTTCTCCCTTGGCGATGACAGCGGCCAGGCGCCAAAATCTTGTCTTCAGCCTCGAGATCAAGCCAACAAAAAGACGAATGTTTGGCCAATAGAAAACATCTGGGTAATCGTAAAGCAGAGGTTGGATGAGAACCTCAACTCCCCGAAGCTTGAAGAAATTGTTTATTTTTTAATTTATTTACGTCACGTTTATTTTTAGTTGTATAAGTGTACATACACAGAACATACATATTTTGGTGTTCTTTATAAATTAATTATTAACAATTACACAATTTTAAATGTTTGTTAGGAAGAAGATGGGAGGAGAAGAGTTCTCTCATAAATACCGAGAACAGTTGCTTAGAGAACTAGAGGACTCCTTCATACAGTACAAGGTATTAAATGTTATGACTAGTTCTAAATTTGGTCGCTATGGGGGTTACAAAACCTTGTACGCTTATACTGCCGGGCCGGTACTACAGCACTGACTAGGCCTTCGGAGGATGAAGTTTAAACTAACTTCTGATAAATTTTTGGATATAACGGTTCATTATGGTGCAATTGCTAAAAATATGCGGCAATAAAATCTTTGAACTTTTTTGTACATAAAGAAAACAGATAAGTTCATTTCCAACGAAAAGGAAAAATAAAATATTATGTATTCAAACCCGATAAAAAAATGAATATAAGATCATTGCTCAAATTCTGTTAAATTGTCGAAATAATTCCAACAAAATGTTATTTGTTCAGGCGCATAATGACAGTAAGAATATATTCAAAGCTGCCAACACACCAATTACCTTATTCAGCATTTGGTCAATTCTCTACATAATTTCACAGGTTAATATATATATAATAAAGCTAATATTTATATATTTATATATATATCTGTAGCTATAGCTGGCCAAATACGGCTGGACCAAACTGGCCGAATTTTCTAAGGGGTGCCCAGGGGTAATATAGGTTTTTAAAAATTCAAACTTGTTCAAGTTTTATTTCATTAAATTCCACGGGCAACACTGGGCACTTCAGCTATTATAATATATATATATATAAGACAATTTTATTTTATTTCCCAGAGTCACACGTTAAGTGTAAGTCCGATCGGTTCAGCCGTTTTGAAGTTTTGAAGTTGAACATGTTTTTTTTAAAATATTTTTTAGTTTATAAAGTTAAGACACACTTAGTCCATCTTTTTATTTAATTTAAGTTTTGTACTTTGATTAAGTTAAATTTTAAACAAACTTTTTCACTATTAGGTATTTTAGTGCCTCTTTTTATTGATTGAGAAATTTTGTTGAGTTATTTGGATTTATTAAATTAATATTGAGTAATTTTTTAACTCCATCTATGTTTTCAAATTTAAACTAAGTTTCAGTTCAGTGCTTTAATAAGGATACTTTTTAAGACAAATTTCTTCATTATTTGTGAGAACAATTCTTTTAGTTTAACATGAAATATTTTTTTGTTAACTTAATTTATTTTTATTTTATAAAGTTGATTTTAAGTCATTTAAAACTCCATCAATGTTTTCAAAGAACAAAATTTCTGTTCAGTGCTTAAAATATGCCGAACTTAAAACAAATTTATAATTTATGTGTAAGAGCAATTCTTTTAGTTAAACATAAATATATAACATAAATATGACGTCATTTAACCCCTTCTGTGTTTATAATTTTGAACTTTATTTCAGTTCTGTGCTTTGATAATGCTTACTCCTGTCTCTAACCTTTGTAACCTGTTGATGTGGGGATTAGTTTTCACCGGAGCAACATGGGCATACGTCAAGTACAGGTAGTACGCAGGACCGTACAGAGTTACCCACAAAGGATCAGATTACAGAGACAACTGTACGCAGTTTATACTGTTTGTTTCCTTACAGAGTTACCCACAAAGGATCAGATTTCAGAGACGACTGTACGCAGTTTATACTGTTTGTTTCCTTACAGAGTTACCCACAAAGGCTCAGATTTCAGAGACGACTGTACGCAGTTTATACTAATTGTTTCCTTACATTCATGATTATCTGTAACTATAAACTGTATTTTTGCTTTGCAAATCATTAAATAATCAGTTAGAGCAGGGGCAGGATGGGGTTTCCTGCACCTGGCGGCGGTCTGGGGGGTCCACGTTGGGGCCTCTTACAGATTTCACTTCCTTATGAATCCTTGTTTAATGCAGAAAGCATAAATTAACCTTGAAATCGTCATACTTAAAGAGTTTCAATTCGTCCATACAATCTCATTTTCTGTGGGTAACATTTTATGTAATTAGGTAGTGGGTATTATAAAAATATATTACAGAAGAATCATTTATGTATTAACACTAAGTTAATTTATATTTTAAGTGTTTTGTTTTTATTCGCTGAATTTGGGGAAATTAAATTTTGTTTAGGAAAATAATTAAATTTTCGAAGAAAAACAGTATCCTTAATGATGAAAAAAAAAAACATTTCTTTTTTCATCCAAAATCATTCCTATCGGAGCCAGGGGGCCGGTTGGTTTAAATCTTAAAAATGTATTCCACCAATAGTTGTATATTTCATATTGCAAAAGTAAACAAATAAATTTCATTTTTTTGTTTTAGTGGAGAATTCGGGCATGTTGGATCCCAGATAGAGGATTGCACAGGATGGATCTGGGACAATCTTTTCCAGGTTCTACTGAGCAAGGTTAGTTAACCCCCCCCCTTTCCGGGCCCTCCCCCCCCACCCCTCTTCTGTATAATCTTAAATCAACTTTCTAATTTATTAATAATTATATAAAATACTGCAATAATAGCCAGAAATATATATTTTTTGTGAATATAATTCTTAAATATTTGTATTTGATCCCTGATCCTAATTTTTTACAACAAATCCATGCTCCGGATATTTTTCAATCCGGATTCATTAAAAGCACACCTGATAATTGTATATATATTTAAACAGTTAATACGAGGACGCGTAAGGAAGTTAATGTGTCAAGTTAAGTTTAAATGAGACTTGAACTTGTGGCAGCCTTGCTAATATGCAAAATCTTAACAGCCAATTCTGCCAATATAATCTTAAATATTTTGATTAATTCTTAATTTTCAAATTTTAGAGAAATTTATAAATTTATTCCGTACTTAGCATGTTCATTTTGAAATTTATTAATTTATCCTAAAATCTTGAAATTTACTAGTTTATCCTAAAATCTTGAAATTTACTAATTTATCCTAAAATTTTGAAATTTACTAATTTATCCTAAAATCTTGAAATTTACCTAAAATTAAACCAACTTCTCCCTAAAATTGTTCATTTAGTCCGGAAATTACTTCCTTATGAAAATCATGAAAATTAATTTATCCTGAAATTTGTCATTTTTTGTTTGAAATCTACCAATTCTTCCTAAAATCCGAACTTTTGATTTGTGAATCTGGATAAATCATTGATCTCCATCTTATGCAGGCCATAATACCTCTTCAATATCCTGTGGGGTCATACCCTGCAGGGATATCTTGAATTGAGTGATCAAGAATTTATCATAAAAATCCCCACACTGGATATCGAGATCCAGCGTTTAAGATTAAAGATATTCTCACAAGATTATCTACCTCTGTAGTTTTGAATTGACAATATATATTCTGAAATTTGTCCGTTCTCCCTAAACTTTGCCAATATTTCCTGAAATTTTTTCTTTATTTATTCTGTAATTTAGATAATTATGATATTTTTTTTATCCTGAAATTTCGCAATATTCTCTGAAATTTGGAATTTTGCAATTAGAATCCTAGTTCAGTTTGGTTGTTAATCTGCATGGCTTTTATCAGAATACTGAGGCCGAATTTAAAGAAATTGAGCCGCGGCTCAAATTTGAGACGTATTCAATGGTTCAAGATTTAAGCCGGCGCTCAATTGAAACCGTTTTTTGTCTGATTTGAGACGCGACTCAAATTCATTAAATTAGGACTCTAAACGTATTTTTAGATTGCAACAGGATAAATTTAGACAAACAAGCATTCTAAAAATCGTTTTAAGACTTCTGCTAATGCATAATAGTAATAAAAATCGAGTCTTTGTCACAAACTCTGATGTTCTAATAATCCCTTTACTTTTGTAATCCAATGTCGAAGACCTTAGATATTTCAAATTCAAACTATAAATTATGTTGAATACAATCATCTAAGTTGCCGCAGATTTCTTTGTCTTGGTGGTTTTATCAGCTTTTGATGTTCTCATTTTTTTCTAAAAACTTTTTTTAAACGCGTCGCTTAATTTTATTTCACAAACGACACAGTACATAGCACACACGCCTTTTGCATGGATCAAACCCCTTTATATGTATTGTACATTGGATTCCACAGTGGACATTTTTGGTTTATTTTTGATGTTAGGATTTTAATTGTTTTTTTTATTTATTGCTTTACCATGCATACTTTAATAAATGTTCTTAAAGGTTACAAATTTTGGGCAATAGCCCAAGGAAGTTACGTGCACATGCCGCTTTGAATTAAAAGACACAGATAGAGCCTGTTCTAGCCGCGGAGCTCGACCCCTAGCCGTGGCCCTTTGCCTCCTAGCCTGTCCTTGCCGCAGCACTCGGCCAAGAAAGTGTCTTAACCTAAACCTAAAATATTTACAGATCTGTCTCTTTCTTGTAATTTAACGCGGCAAGTGCATGTATCTTCCTTGGGCAACTGCCAAAATAGGAAATAGGAAATAAAGGCAATAAAGGAAAAGGGGGATAAGTAGTAGTGCTTGACAGTGAATTCTGTTAAAGGAGTAATGCTTATATATACCTGAATATTTATTAGGCTAATTTCCCTAATTAAAACCTGATTACTTTTATCGAAAGCCATTTTAGATATTGTGTTTATTTTTCAAACCAAACAAAACAGCCTTTTATTTTACGCTAGCTTTTGTATTTTTATTTTTCCGCAATGCTTAAAAACTTTTTAAAAGATATTTTTAGAGTGTATACTGTATACTTTTCTTGTTATATCATGAATATTTGTATTCATGCTTTTATCCTATTATAGGCGGCTGAACAGGGAACCACTTTTGCTGTCAGGTAAAAAATAACAAACAAAAAGTAACTTTTTAAGAACAAACTTTTTGCCACAAACTCAATTTTATAATCTCTATATCTTTGCAACCTGAAGATGTAAACCTCCGATTTTCGAATTCACAATTAGAAAAATATAAAAGGTCTACGACATCGGGATACAATGATATAGGGATTAAAAATTTAGAGTTTGTGGCAAAAACTCATTTTCTTTGAAAGTAGCTCAGGCCAGATTTTAATAGACTGAAATTATCAATTTCATTATCTTCATCTAAATTAATTATCGTTATATTATTAATATTTTTTACTATTTTAATTGTTTTTATTATTTTTTATATTATTATTTTCATTATCATTATCATTAGCATGAGCATTATTATTTTATAGGCAAGCCGCCCAACGGATGAGCTCTGTAAGTTCCCCCTCCAATGAGCGGAAGAAAACTAGATGAAGTTTCAAGTGAAAAATAAACTAGTTTTGTGAAAGAGTCTCGTGACGTAATTTTCAGTGAAACTCTATTTATCGGGTGGCATGTCGGACTCATAACGGTACCTTTTAAACCTATGTCTGATTCAGGATCTCATTGGCATGCAGTGTACAGTACACTGCACTCAATTGTCGGCTGTAAAAATAAGGATATTTCCATCATCCTTGATTAGACAAAGGTTATGATGGTACTGTTGTAAATCGGACATGCCACTCTTCAAATAAAGGATTACTAAATATTACGTCTGCAGTCCCTTCAAGTTCTTAATCAAATAGTTTATGTTCTCTTGCTATAACTATATACCGCCAAATTATTGTATAATTAACAAATAATTTCCTTAATAGTTAATTATTTATCTTTTCTTCTGGCCGAGGCGGGGTTTTTATCTTTGATGAACTCCATCAAAAATTCCACATTTTTAAGATTATTAAAAGTTCAAAAATGAAAGTTTCAAGGTTTTTATTCTGTTTTGAAAGCGATTTAAAACAAACTTCTATAATTTTATTACTCCCGTTTTTACGCCCTAAATACCCAACTTAACTTAAAGGGAAGAAAAGGACAAACTTTTTGGATCTGTTTTGAAGGGTCAACCAATCAAAGTTTGATATCTTACTTAAACATTGTGGCATTTCACCATGAACAGATTCAAAATTAACCTTTCTCTACTTTTAACATAAATACAAGACTCTGCTCAATTTCTCAATTCCGTCCGATGTCACAAGTGTAAAAAAGTGGCAGCTGGATTTTTTCAAATCTCGAAATGAAAAATGTTTGTTTTTTATGTTTTTTTTTTCTCCTGATCTTTAATATGTATTCTTTCTTGTATTTTGAAAAGTTGGGTATTTCGAGTATTTTTCCTTGTTATTGTTTTTTATTTTATTTTAAGATACGTTTTAACTTGCCTGGTTTATTGTTATCATTGATAGCGTATCGTGTTTAAAAAAAATTCCCCCTGATTCCTGACTCAAACTCTTTTCACCCGCCATAATGCTGTACCTGGATCATGGGGAAGACTGAAACCAATCAATCAATCGCGTCTCAACAAATTTATTAAATTATTAGTGCTCGGCATAAAAATAAATTTCACAAACCCTGCATTATTAACCTTGCAGTACGGTGATTTTGTACCGTTTACTTTAAATGGGTTAAAAGGTATCCATTTATGTGATCATTTTGGTTTACACTTCTTTTATAGATATGTAAATACATTTTAATATTTAAATCAGATTTTTTATTACGACCCTCTTAGTCTAATATTTATATCCTTAATAATTTTAGTAAATATAGATAATTGTAGATATTTTGTTCTATTTTTTGTATCCTGATATAAAGCATCTTTACCATATTACAGTGTTTCAAATTAAACAGAGCCCGCGGTTTAAAAATTTCGACTAGAGCCGTAATTCCTTAACCCCGACTTTAAGACCCGATCTTCGACCCAACTCTGACGACAGCTTGTGTCACGTGATTGACAGTTGGAAGATCTTCGGCTCGACTTAAGGAGTTAGGCCCAATGAAAATAAAACCGACCTTGGTTGGTTTTAGTGGAGAATAAGGCTCAATGTTGAGTCTTGTTCTCATAAAAACCCGGAATGCGCCAATTCCAACCGTGAAAATCCGCCAAATAGAATATTGAACCTGTTTTTTGAACTCAACTGTGTGGAAAATAAGATGCAGCTTGAATCCGAAAGCTCAAGTCGTAAATAAGGCCCAACAACAGCTTAGACTTGAGCCGTATTTTCCCGAATTTTTTAAATCACGGGCTTAGGACAGTTTCTTTATGAGCATAGAGTATTGAAATATTTTGCGGCATTATTCTTTAAAATAATAATAAATCCGAAACATTATTGGCCTCTTGCATCACTAAAATGTGGATTGCCTTTGCTGTACTTACTAGATTTGTTAGTACAAGTTATAACTTTTCAAAATAAATCAAAATTATAGAATTAATATATTTTTCATATCTTTTTCACGCAAAAGGGGGTGATCTAAAATACGGAAAGTATGTAAGTCGAAATCCTTTTTTGATGCATATTTTGTCATCAAAGGTCAGAGACGATTTTTATGTGATTGCGGAGCTGAGGATTTATACCTGAGAGTTAGTTGAACTATTCAATGAGTCGGTTGAACTTTATATACATGGGTTCAGACAGACAAGCCAAATTTATATATAGATTCGATTAAAACAAACTTGCATAGAATAAAATTTAAGAGATTAGACTTCAGAAACGACTGTACGAAACGCATTCTGTCTGTTTACTTACACACTGTGTAGTGAATTCTCTCTGCCAAATCCTGAAAAAAAGCCAGTAAACGACTATTCAAGGCAGCGGTCAAACTCTGCAATGAATTGTAAGAAGTGAGAGATGAGTTTATATTTTAGGGTTGGGTTAGGTTTAGCTACTTTCTCGGCCGCGTGTCGAGCGCCGCGACTAGAACTGGCTCTCTGTGTCTTATAATTCTTTACGGCATTCGCGAGTAACACAGATTGGACGCTGCCTATATTAAGGCAGACAACTTAATTTAACCTTGGAATCATCATATTTAAAGAGTTTCAGGACGTATTAAAAACCACACGTGCTCAATGTTATAGAATCAAATTTCTTGAAGTATTTCCGGTCCGAGCCGGGTTTCCCCGAAAATCATCTAATGTTAACGTTGCATTTTTCCCATTTTTAAATCAATAAAATTAAACAGACTTCAGAAACTTTCTTCTATTGAACTGTTATTTTGAATTGCATGATGTAAAATTTAAAAAAATTGTATATTTTTCAATGTTGCTTGAAAGAATTGTGTGATATTATATATGCTAATTGATAGAATTATTATATAGAGTATTGATAGAATTATTATGAAATATTATATGCCACTTTATAGTTGATATGGAATAATGGAGTACTGATAGAATTATTATGAAATATTATATGATATTGTAGTTGATAGCACATATATGGAATATTGATAGAATTATTATAGAATATTATATGCTATTGTAGTTGATAGAACATATATGGAATATTGATAGAATATATATGGAATATTATATGCTATTGTAGTTGATAGCACATATATGGAATATTGATAAAATTATTATGGAAAATTATAATTATATGCTATTGTAGTTGATAGAACATATATGGAATATTGATAGAATTATTGTATAATATTATATGCTATTGTAGTTGATAGAACATATATGGAATATTGATAGAATTATTATAGAATATTATATGCTATTGTAGTTGATAGAATATATATGGAATATTGATAGAATTATTATAGAATATTGTATGCTATTGTAGTTGATAGGACACATATTGAATATTGATAAAATTATTATAGAATATTATATGCTACATGAATAAATCTTAATTTGCAATATTGTAGTTGATAGAACATATATGGAATATTGATAGAATTATTATGAAATATTATATGCTATTGTAATTGATAGAACATATATGGAATATTGATAGAATATATATGGAATAGTATATGCTACTGTAGTTGATAGAACATATATGGAATATTGATAGAATTATTATAGAATATTATATGCTATTGTACTTGATAGAACATATATGGAATATTGATAGAATATATATGGAATATTATATGCTATTGTAGTTGATAGGACACATATGGAATATTGATAGAATATATATGGAATATTATATGCTATTGTAGTTGAAAGGACACATATGGAATATTATTAGCTGCTATTAGTTGATAGAACATATATGGAATATTGATATGGAAAATTTAAATTCTAGATCTACGGGAATGTATGTAGCATGGTTGGTAGAGTTGGTTGACGTTTGGGAAAATTTCAGGCAAAGCTGGGTTTCCAAGTTAATTAATAAAAGAGTGGGTTTTCTGTAGACACCCTGTATCATCTTGGCTCTGTATACACTGCACTACATTAATGAAATCTTATTTTATGATATATTCATTATTTTTAAATTTGAAATCTTACCTTGCAAAACTTTGTAGTTTGTATACATTTCTCATGCATTTTCTTAAGGCTCTCTTCCCCACTTTCCAGCACCCATAATCCGCCCCCTACCCCTTTAAAGGGCCGCCCCCCCCTCTGTATCCGACATTTAACCTTTATGTATATATCATATCCAGATATATCATCTCCTTTCACTCTAAACTTTTAACTAGAAGATTTTAAGTCAGTTTCAAGGAATTTTCATATTTTTGAAATATCATTCCTACTCATGCTTTTCTTCACCTTATAGTCTATAGATATTCCCTTATCTACTTCTATTCCTACATTAAAACCTATTACTACATCTACTCTTATTCCTACATCAATTCCTATTCCTACATCTACTTCTATTCCTACATTAATTTCTATTCCTACATTAATTCCTATTCCTACATAAACTTCAGTTCCTACTTGTTATACTTCAAATCTAACTTTTATTCCTACTTCATAGCTGATTTAATCCCTACTTCTACTCATACTTCTACTGTAATTCCTATTCCTTCTCCTTCTGTACTCCCTATCCTATACTTTTACTCCTACTCCTACTTGTATTCCTATTCCTACTCCTTCTTGTACTCCTAGTCTTACTTCTACTCTTACTCCAACCCATACTTGTACTCCTACCCACACTTCTACTCCTTCCCATACTTGTACTCCTACTCCTACTTATACTCCTACTCCTACTTGTATTCCTATTTCCTACGCCTATATTCAATCCCCTTGTTGCTCCGTAATGTTTATTTTATTCACTATTCACACATTTATTTTTATATCACTACATCTACTACAATATACCTGAACAATACTTTTCAATGCACATTTACATAAATGTACAAAACTCGGTTTACTACAGTCAAGGGTTACCTAAAACTATGAAACTTTAATAACAACCTGATAATGTGATCTGAAAATTTAAATGGATTAAATATTTAGGCTTCCAATGTTATAACAATTCAATTGGCCAAGAAAAAAGCACGGAACAGAATCAGCTGCAAGCCCCCCCCCCCATGAAAGTTAAAAAATGACTAAATAATTTCCCTAAAGTCGTCTTTAAAATCTCATTCTTTGTGGGTAACTCTTTACCTTATAGTTACGATATCGTATAAGCCTTGTGTATTGTGTGAAGAAGCTCAAACACGAGATTAACTCATTACTACTGGATTCCATTTTTTCAAAAAATACCTTGAAGTTGTAATTTACAATTATTATTCCAATACTTTTCAAAGAATCCTAATCTATATTTTAAAAGAAGAAAAAATCCAAAATTAAGAATCATTTCTCTGTTTTCTTTTTACCAAATAAAATGAAATTTAGCGCTTGCAAACATTCCCCAATGGCAGTGAAATTGTTTATAATTGCGCAGTTTTTGTCCATTTTGATTTATGGAATATGGAAGACGACTTTTAAGTAATCTTTTGTGTAAATGATGTTTATATGAAGCATGCAAATTTTTTGCCTGCAGTACACCACATAAACTCATGTACCGGGTTGACTTTTTGTAAGCTAGCGCAAGCTGTACACTATACATTACAAATACAGACAATAGAAGGCAAAACGGAACGGTACGCTAAATAAATATTGCTTTTAATTTGACTTATTAAGTCACTCATAATTTCAGTCTAAAAGTCGTCTTCCCATTCCACAGTTTAAAGGGTTTTCACTGACGGTATATCTGCGATCAGGTTTTCAAGGCGCGGTTTAAAGGCAAATCCTGTCCTCTTTGAAGCATATTAGAGTCTATTAGAGTCAACCTATTCTTCCACACAAAAATCCTAAATTTAGGTAACACCTTGCATTTTACAATCGACAATTAAATAAAGAAAATTTAATTAAACTTTTACTTTTTGTTCTATCTGTGAGCATTTTCTCTTTGTACAATACAAAAAAAACATCTGAGTATCTATAAACCTTCCCATTGGGTCATGTGAGGTCCCACATTTGGTTCGGTTCAGTCGTTTTGACGTTTATTGGATACAAACGGACAAAAAAAAAACAGACATACAAGCAAAGTATATATATCTATATAGATTGTCTAAAAATCAATACGAAAAAGTAGATAACCATTCTCTCTATCTCTCTTATAAATCGATATGTAAAAAGATACAAATAATTAAGATACAACAGTTTCAAACTATATATTTAAATTTGTGAAAAAAAGATTTGTAAATATTAAAAATGAATACAGTACAGTTCCGAATACTATAATTTGAATACATTGCACTGGACCTGGCCGTTTATAACCAGTAGCAGACAGGTATATTTTTTTGGCCCGTTTTTAACGTTCAGTGTATTTTTGTTACTTTCTAGGGGCTCTTCATAGATCTGACATGTTTTTCATTATTCAAAATTTAATTTTTTATAAGTTAAATTTATTACATTTTGCAAATTTTTAATCTAAACTATAAAAGAGTAGAATCGCTTCGCTTTGAGTCATTCGTTTAGAAAAACGTTTGCATAATGTAAATAACAAATTTTACCGAGAATTAAGTCCCTTAAAGGTAAAAAAACTTAAAGGTTAAAAACTGACCAAAAAACTTTACCCATTCCTTAAAGCAACACTGCAGTATCAGGGAGGGGCAATAAGCATGGGTATTTATTAGCGACATACAAATCATCCTCAATCCACGTGGAATTTAATCGTGAATCTGTTTTAACAATTCACTTAGAGACGGTTTTTTATTTGGTATATATGTTTTTTTAAATTCAATTTAAATTTTAGAAACATTTTCCTATTTTCCGTTTTGCATAGAATGACGCTAAAATTGACATGTTTATTGAGACACCCTGTAAGTCAAACGTTCTGACCGCATTGCTACAGTATTGCTGTCGTAATATTGCGGCAAGATACCGCATAGTGGTCGCTGCACAGTGCTACGCAATTGTGGTCGCAACACTGTACACAATGACCGAAGTGCTACCGAATTCATGGTCGCAACACTGCGGTAATGACCGCAGTGCTATTTTGGTCGCAGCGCAGTTGGATAAAAGCTCTAAATTCTAGTCTTTATACTTTCTTCTTCTTGAGAGGATTGAAATGCTTGGATCTTCTGGCAGAATTATTTTTCATATTTAAAGGGTTGGATTCTCCCCCTCCATCTTCAGAGCTACTGGACTCAGTAGATTTCCTGTTATCCCTGAAATATACTTTGATTTAACGGATTGATAGTGTATCGTAACTCAAAAATCCGGGACCGATTTGCCTCAAATTTTGATTGAGAAATTCGGGAGAGCCACGGAAAATTTCTTAGCTTGGTTTTAAGATTCTCAGTTAAGTGGGTTGACTTTAATAGCGAAAATTTAGTTTCCCGGTAAAATCGACCAAGTGCGGGTAAACGGCGGGAGTACTCTGGGCAACGCTGGATTCCCAAGCTAGTGCATAATGTTACTAACAACACAGCTTCTTTAAATCTAGAGGATTCTAATTAAGAAAACTTTTCCATTTGAACTTTTTCACATTTCACCGCTATTTTAAATTGCTTTTAATTTATCTTGCTTCAAAACACCAAATATACCATATAGAATCACTACTTTTAATAATATTTTTAGAAAATCCAAAAAAACACTATTTTATCAAATGTTAAAAGTTGTTTAAAATTTTGTTACCTATTGACTAGAATACTTGATCTCTGTCTTCCCTGGCCTGAATGCTTAAAGGTCGCCTTTATATCTTCAATACTGTATCCGTGGTTACGCATCATGTGCGTTTTCAACTTGTCCTACACATTTTAAAATTAGAAATATGAAGTTTTACGCATTATTATTATTTATTTTGTGTTATTGATTATTGAGAGGGAAGTTATGTTGTAGCGCTATCCCATGGGACAGTTATAAATAATAACTAACCCTTTACAGGTGTAAAACAGAAGAATGGGGTTAAAATATATTTAAGTAAAAATATATAAAACAAATCAGGATATTTTGCTGATTTACGCTAATCATAACATTTTTGCCTTCCTCCTTTCGCATTATAAATTTAATTTCATATACACCCGAAATCAACCTATGGAAAATTGAGTCTGAAAATAAAAATTTTAAAAAGATTGCATGTAAATTATATCTCATAATATAGTAGTTTTTTTTCTACTTTTTAATATCTTTTCAGGGTGTGGGATTGTTATTGCAAACATTTTATGGCGAAAAGCGGTATGGAGGGAGGGAGGGGAGGGGGTATCATAAAAAGGATAGATGAGGGGGGGGGGAGGGGAGAGAAATCATAAAAAGAAAGCTTAAGAGCATAAAGTTTGAGCTGTTTAAGTTATATTTGATAAAACATATTGAAGCCTCGGAAGCAAAACAATTTTACTCCCTAAATGTTTGGTCGATGTTGTATGTTTGTGTGTCTGCGTGTTTGTATGTTTGTATGTTGTATCAATATTCTGTGTTTACCAAACAAAATCACTTGTCCGTCCATTCATACATTGTGTGTATTTATGAGGCACAGAAACCAAAATTATTAAAAATCCTAAAGGTATTAATATTAATACTGGTGCACTAACAAAAAGTGTATTTTCATTTAGGCCTTAAAATATTAATAGGATTTTATTTAAAGGATATAAATTCTTTCTTGGATTGTATTGCCTTGGTTCGATTTTACCTAAGTATATATATATTATATATTCAGAAAAGAAGGCATAGTAAAGTATGAAAGGGATGCATACATCAAAATATGTACCTCTGACAAAGGTATATTATATTCAGTAAATCTCAACGTTAAATTCCAAACAGTTTTTTTTATTTTTTTTTATTTTTAAAATTTGAATTTTTTGTAAAAGTCTGCACTTAACAAACTTTTGCTGGATCTTTTCTCGGTATTCTAAGAATTACATTTAGAGGAAATAAAATGTAAAAATGTTCCTTTTCCTTTTTTTTTAGTGTTGAAAAACCTGATGATGGGGTGCAGGGGCGTACGAAGGGGTGCCTAGCCCCCCGCCCCTTACACGTGCCCCCCCCTGATGGGTTGTCATTTACATATGCAGTCTGACATTAAACCCACCAAAAATTGAGTAATGTTCCAAAAATGTGAGCACAAAGTGTGAAAATATGTTCCGGAATTCGTGCTGTTATTGGTGAAATAAATCCATTTTACGATTATCTACAATTGTGGCCAGAAATTAGAACTGTTGTGTTGTGAGTCTTGGGATCAAGCATTGATCTCCATCTTATGCAGAGTTTAATTAAGGGATCACTCATTGATTCTCAAATCAAAAGAGCCCACCTTGGATAACAAGATCAAGTTCCGATCTGAGGTCATATCTACATTCTTCTTATACAATGGTTCAATAGTGCATAAATGCGGAATGTTATAATTCTAAACAGATATGGGAGATTTAGATGTAGGGTTTGCTTCTACGCTTTCATCCTATAATTATTCATTCTCAAACATACTGTATACAAGGTGTCTCAAACATACTGTATACAGGGTGTCTCAAACATACTGTATACAGGGTGTCTCAAACATACTGTATACAGGGTGTCTCAAACATACAGTATGGAGGGTGTCTCAAATATACTGTATACAAGGTGTCTCAAACATTCTGTATACAGGGTGTCTCAAATATACTGTATGCAGGGTATCTCAAACATACTGTATACAGGGTGTCTCAAACATACTGTATACAGGGTGTCTCAAACATACTGTATACAGGGTGTCTCAAATATACTGTGTAAAAGGTGGTTCAAGTTTATCGTATAAAAGGTATTTTAAGCTTTAAAGTTCTCTGTCTATTAATCTATATGATTATCTGATTGTCTGACTATCCGTTGATCTATCTGTTCACCTATCTCTGTTGATTTATCTGTTCACCTATCTATCTGTTCACTTATCTATCTGTTTAAATATCCTTCTGTTTATCTATCTATCTGTTTATCTATCTATCTTTTTATGCATCTATCTGTTCACCTATCCATCTGTTCACCTATCTATCTGTTTAAATATCCTTCTGTTTATCTATCTATCTGTTTATTCATTTATCTTTTTATCATCTATCATTTTCTCTATCAATCTGTTTATTTATCTACCTGTTTATCCATCTACCTGTTTATTTATCTATCTGTATATTCATCTACCTGTTTATCTATCAATCTGTTTATTTATCTATCTTTATATTCATCTTATCATCTATTCAGCTATATATCAATTTATCTATCTATATGTTTATTCATCTATCTGTTTATTTATCTATCTGTTTATTTATCTATCTGTATATTCATCTTATCATCTATTCATCTATCTATCTGTTATCTATCTTTCTGTGCATCTGTCTATCTGTTTATCAATCTATTTGTTTATTCATCTATCTGTTTATCTATCTATCTTGTTATCTATCTATCTGTTTATCGATCTATTTAGTTATCTATCTATCTATTCATCTATCTATCTGTTCATCTATCTATTCATCTATCGATCTATAAATAAATTTCGTATTATTTAGTTATTTTTGCTTCCTCTTTCGGGATTATACATTAGTGAACAAAGGACATGTGAGACAGTAGGCTAAGAAGTTAGAGTGCTATATATATATATATATATATTGATAGATAGATAGATATTTAGATAGATAGATAGATATATAGATAGATAGATAGATAGATAGATAGATAGATAGATAGATAGATAGATAGATAGATGAATAGACAGAAGGAGGTGGTCACATTTATATGACATCACTGTTACGACTTTGTGACCTCGTAGTGCCCCTAGTATTGATTCTACGCACAAGTATTTAAAAGGTTCAAATCTTCTTTGTTCTTTTCAAAAGCTCTTTAATGAGAGGAGTTGTTAATGAAAACATATAAGATTTCAAGATTCCAAGATTTTGTACAATTTAATCGAAGGTTTAAAAAGGATGGAGGGTAAAATAGATCAGATTAGATTTTGGATAGAATTGAGTTTCTTAAAAGGAATTGTTTAGGAGTTTTATCATACCATCTATGAATGTAAAGGAATTGTTGAGGAGTTTTATCATGCCATCTATGAATGTAAAGGAATTGTTTAGGAGTTTTATCATACCATCTATGAATGTAAAGGAATTGTTTAGGAGTTTTATCATACCATCTATGAATGTAAAGCAATTGTTTAGGAGTTTTATCATACCATCTATGAATGTAAAGGAATTGAGTTTTTACAACAAACTTCGATTTTCTAATCCTCTATCTTTGCAACCCGACGTGGCAAAGACTTAATTTCTTTGTTGTGGACACATTTTTCAGATACGATGTAAAAATATTTAAGAAATTCGGTCCATGAAAAATTTTCACATATAAGTGAAGATGGGGGTGGGAGGAGGGGTTGGGGGATTAAAAAGGGGATATTCAGTAATATACATTGTACTTGAAGTAGACATTGCAGGTGGATCTGGGGGGGGAATATTCAACAGGTTGCAGGGGGTGGGGGAATTTATATGAAATTTGGGAAGGGAAATAACTTTGTTAAGAGGGGGGCGGGGATTTTCATGGGGAAATATATAAAGGGAAAGGGGAATATTTAAAAATGCCAGAAATTGCCATTTTGAATGAAATCTGTAGAGCTGTTAGGTCCTTAAGTATCATTTAAAAACATTTCAAACATATAAAGAATGAGAAAGATATAATTAAAATGTATTTTAAGGTATAGAATCATACATATATCAGATACAACTTGACAACACATTCCGCACACATGCAGAGTTTTTAATATATCCTTAATGAATAGATACAATGTCCTAAATTTGATACAATAACCCCCCCTTTCGATCCCCCATCTAGTTGCGCAAATAAAAAGAAAATCCTAGACATAAAATCACAATGTAATTGAGAGCTAAGGTATGAATATTCTTTTTTTATCCAGAAATATATTGTATTGCATCATATATTATATTTCTCCTATCTATCTATAAATGTATCTAACTATCTATCCTATGGTTGGGATATCCCCTCTAAGATGCAACGAAGAAATCTTCTTGTAGCGGGCCCTGGGGGAAAGAAAAAGAGGGAAATTTATCAGCTGAGAGTTGAAGGAAAGGGAAAGGGATAAACAACAAATTTTGCCAGATGATTCGGTATTTGTCTGTAAATATCCGGCCAGAGCTGGGAATTTTAGAATGGTGGATGTGTATAAACTACTAGAGAAGGGTAGGATGTATCTAGGTGTATAAACTACTAGAAAAGGGTAGGATGGATGTATCTAGGTGTATAAACTACTAGAAAAGGGTTGGATGGATGTAACTAGGTGTATAAACTACTAGAGAAGGGTAGGATGGATGTATCTAGGTGTATAAACTACTAGAGAAGGGTAGGATGGATGTATCTAGGTGTATATTTAATAGAAAAGGGTAGGATGGATGTATCTAAGTGTATAAACTACTAGAGAAGGGTAGCATGAATGTATCTAGGTGTATAAACTACTAGAGAAGGGTAGGATGTAACTAGGTGTATAAACTACTAGAGAAGGGTAGGATGGATGTATCTAGGTGTATAAACTACTAGAGAAGGGTAGGATGTATCTAGGTGTATAAACTACTAGAAAAGGGTAGGATGTATCTAGGTGTATAAACTACTAGAGAAGGGTTGGATGTATCTAGGTGTATAAACTACTAGAGAAGGGTAGGATGTATCTAGGTGTATAAACTACTAGAGAAGGGTAGGATGGATGTATCTAGGTGTATAAACTACTAGAAAAGGGTTGGATGGATGTATCTAGGTGTATAAACTACTAGAGAAGGGTAGCATGAATGTATTTAGGTGTATAAACTACTAGAGAAGGGTAGGATGGATGTATCTAGGTGTATAAACTACTAGAAAAGGGTAGGATGGATGTATCTAGGTGTATAAACTACTAGAGAAGGGTAGGATGTAACTAGGTGTATAAACTACAAGAGAAGGGTAGGATGGATGTATCTAGGTGTATAAACTACTAGAGAAGGGTAGGATGGATGTATCTAGGTGTATAAACTACTAGAAAAGGGTTGGATGGATGTTTCTAGGTGTATAAACTACTAGAGAAGGGAAGGATGGATGTATCTAGGTTTATAAACTACTAGAGAAGGGTAGGATGGATGTATCTAGGTGTATAAACTACTAGAGAAGGGTAGGATGGATGTATCTAGGTGTATAAACTACTAGAGAAGGGTAGGATGTATCTAGGTGTATAAACTAATAGAGAAGGGTAGGATGTATCTAGGTGTATACACTACTAGAGAAGGGTAGGATGTATATAGGCGTATAAACTACTGGAGAAGGGTAGGATGTAACTAGGTGTATAAACTACTAGAGAAGGGTAGGATGTAACTAGGTGTATAAACTACTAGAGAAGGGTAGGATGTATCTAGGTATATTAACAACTGGAAAAGGGTAGGATGTATCTAGGTATATAAACTACTGTGGAAGGGTAGGATGTATCTAGGTTTTTAAACTACTGGAGAAGGGTAGGTTGCATCTAGGTGTATAAACTACTGTGGAAGGGTAGGATGTATCTAGGTGTATAAACTACTGTGGAAGGTTCTGGAAGATTAATGAAATCAGGTTTGATGTCTTGAAAGCATAATTCAGCAGTAATACAGGCTTCTAATCCAGCTGTAATGGAACCAGGGGAACATCACAGGGTGAACCAGGGGAAATTGTTGAATTTAAATTTGTACAGGGTGAATATTAAAATAATTTTCAACTCTTCATATCTAATCAGGGAGTTCAGGGCTGATCAACCAAGATAAGGAGAGAATTCTTAATTCTTAGAAAATAGAAAACATATTTTAAAAAGAAATTAAAATTGTTGATTTTAAACCACATAACTTTGCAATAGTTTGAATTTCAGACCATTCAAACTTGAATAACTGTTATGTGGCTCAGTTTTATTCTGAATTAAGACATTTTAATCCCTTTTCTGGGTTTTTAATTAAAGTTTAATGAAACATTTAGTGAAGGATTCTCGTGTTTAGGGTTCTAGAAAACAGTAAAACGATTTATAACTTACATATTAAAGGATTAGTTAGTTAGAGAGGAAGAGGGAGGGAATGCAGTAGAAAACTGTGTGGATAAGAGAAGTGCTAAATGTTCTCTAAGAGTTGTGCAATTACACGTAAAAAAGTTTTCAAATAGGGGAAAACACGCTTTAACTATAGGGTATCTTTTTACATGGGGTTAAATAAGAAAATGATAAAGTAAACCATCTTGAATTCTTAAATACAAAAATCATTCTCACCTTTCTCCCAAACCTTGCATCGCACTTCAAGCAGATATGTGGTTTCTCGTTCCTGTGTACAGTTATGATATGTCTTCGCGCATTTCCGGGCTGTTTAAACTTCATCTTACACACAGAGCAAACATAGAAATCCTCCTCCATGGTAAGATGCGCGTTGGCAATCACCTCCGGCGCGTATTCCGGCTCTTCGTCACGTTCCTCTTTCGGCTTCTTCACCGGCGGCCGGCGCTCCTTGCGCTCCTGACGCTTTACAACACCCGTGCGCACAAATTTCCCGCTCACGGGGTTTCGGACAGTATGGCGTTTAAGGTCTAGTTCTGGTGAATAGTATGTATGTTGGGGTAGGGGGGCGGGCTGATATGTTTGATAGGATGGTTGGGTGGGGGTGTAGTGAATCTGAGGATGTGGGTAGGGGGAAAAGGTTTGTGGTTGGATGGTATCAATGAAGAATTCTTGATATGATATTGGTTGGGTTGGGGTTGGGGCGTGTAGGGTTTGGTTGGATAATGTGGTGGAGAGGGTTAAGGTTGGGTTGGAGAGGGAAGTGGAGAGAAGGTTTCTTGGATCATCTAATCTCAGGATATCCCAATCCTATAAGAAAAAATATCATTAATGTTATGAATATACTGAATTTAGCGTATTTAGTTTTGTTTTATGTTTAAAATTTCCCATTTGTGCTTTTATGTGTCCATCCTGAATTTATAATGTTTATCCTTTACTATCTGCCTATCTCTAGATCTAAATAGATAAATCAAACTTGGAAAATAACATTCCTCATCCTTTCCCTCTGTTTACTTTCTGTTCTTCATCCTTTCCTATTCTGTTTTCTTTTCTCTTTTTACCTCTTCATCTTCAGCTTTGTCCTACCTGGAGCATAGTCCGTCCTTCTAGCCTAATCTTAAACCTGAAATATTGTCCGTCCTACTCTACCTACTTTGAAGAGTTACCGGAGCGTTCTCTGCCAACCATAACTTTTATCTTCCTTCCCTTTACGTCCTTCCCTGCCTTCTTAATTAAGTACCCGGAGCATTATCCGTTCTAGTATCCGGAGAATTATCTGTTCTATTACCCGGAGCATTATCCGTTCTATTACCCAGAGAATTATCCGTTCTATTACCCGGAGCATTATCCGTTCTATTATCCGGAGAATTATCCGTTCTATTATCTGGAGAATTATCCGTTCTATTATCCGGATCATTATCCGTTCTATTATCCGGATCATTATCCGTTCTATTACCCGGAGAATTATCCGTTCTAACCGGTATGCTTTTTGTAATATGCGACCTAACTCCTATACCAGCTACCTGATTAAGTACACAGACATTTTCCATCATACCCTTCCTTTTCCCTTCTCTTCCTACTCTTTATAGTACCCGGAGAATTACCCTGTCTACTCTTTCAACTACCCGGAGAATTATCCGTTCTAACCGGTCTACTCTTTTTAGTATTCTGAGAATTATCAGTTCTACTCTGTCTACTCTTTGAACTACGCGGAGAATTACCCGTTCTACGGTTTAATCTCTTTGAAGTATCCGTTCTACTTTGTCTGCTCTTTATAGTAATCAGAGAATTAAACGTCCTACTCAACTTTATACTCTGAGAATCTATCTTATTCTGTCTTCTTTATANGAATAGAGGATACATTTTACCAGCTACAATGGATGGAGAATAAAAGAGAAAAATCATGTTTTAGTTTCATTGAAAGCGTAGTTAGTAGATAGTAGGTCCTTATTTTTCTGAAGACGGAAGTCAATTTGTCCAATGCAGGCTGATTGGAATTATTACGGAAAATATCAGAATCATTTTTGAATTTAAGATATTTCGCACTGATTTAACAGTTCAGTCCTTGTCCCAGCAACCTGTTTCTTACGATCAGAATTTTTCCCATTAACATGCATGAACTTTTAGGTTTTTCTCCTTTGATTGTTGAATTAAAGATAAAAAACGCGATTGAATTCAAATTGAAGAAATCAAATGTATCCAGCCCTGGTTAGTCCCAGGGCAATATTAAAAATTAGAAAAAATTTTGAAAAGTATTATATTTTTTTCTCCAATTTTTCCCTTTGTGAAATTGATAAAAATTTACGTCATTAAAATGATTTATGAAGATTAAATAATAAAGTAATATCTGCGCTATTCCATCCAGAAAATGAAAATGTCAATAGAAAATACTTTATTTAATATAAACACTGATTTATTTTCAGCTTGAGGAGACATTCTAATCTAAAATTAATTAAATTAAAAATACAGTTCAGTACATGGACTTACCAGAGAGCTAGAGAGCTAGAGAACTAGAGAACTAGAGAACTTGAGAACTATAGAACTAGAGACATAGAGAACTTGAGAACTAGAGAACTAGAGAACCAGAGAACCAGAGAACTAGAGACCGAGAGAACTAGAGAACTTGAGATTTTGAGAACTAGAGAACTAGAGAACTAGAGAACTTGAGAACTTGAGAACTTGAGAACTAGAGAACTAGAGAACTAGAGAACTAGAGAACTAGAGAGCTAGAGAACTATAGAACTAGAGAACTTGAGAACTATAGAACTAGACACATAGAGAACTTGAGAACTAGAAAACTAGAGAACCAGAGAACTAGAGACTAGAGAACTTAGAGAACTAGAGAACTAGAGAACTGGAGAACTAGAGAACTAGAGATATAGAGAATTAGAGAACTTGAGAACTTGAGAACTAGAGAACTTGAGAACTTGAGAACTTGAGAACTAGAGAACTAGAGAACTAGAGAACTAGAGAACTAGAGTACTAAAGTATCCGAGAACTAGAGAACTAGAAACCTAGAGATCTAGAGACCTAGAGAACTTGATAATTAAAGAACTAGAGAACTAAAGAATTGTAAAACCAGAGAACTAGAGAACTAGACAGCTAAAGAACTAAAGAGCTAGAGAACAAGAGAACTTGAGAACTAGAAAACTAGAGAACTAGAGACCTGGAGAACTAAAGAACTAGAGAACTAGAGAACTAAAGAATTGTAGAACTAGAGAACTACATAGAGACCTGGAGAACTAAAGAACTAGAACTAGAGAACTAAAGAATTGTAGAACTAGAGAACAAGCAACAAAAGTAAGAGACAACTTTATTTAATTTAAATATATTTCAGATATTTATCTTACACCTCTCGCTCGATTTGGTTCAAGTGTTGAATAATGAACATGTTAGAACCACTAAAATTGTCTAAACTTAGTTTAAATGTTGAAACGTTATTATATAATTTCAGAGTATAATATATGATTGAAGGATGAGTATGTATATATGCAGAAGAGCAGGGGAGCAGGTGCAGTTTAAACTTTCTTTCAAAACATTTCTCTCAACCCCTCCCCCTCCCAAATCCCAACCCTCTCCTCTCTCCCTTACTTCTCCTCCACCCCATTCCCTCTACCCCCACTTATCTAATGTTCAGACATTTTTAGCACCTTTAAAATCTTAATCTTCTTTAAAATAAGTTATTTAAAAATAAATATCTTAATAAATATTTAAATTCCAAACTTCTTATAAAGATTAACAATTTTTAAGATGAAACAAAAATTAATGAACAATTTAGAGCAAAATATAAAAAAAATTTAGTATTTAAATGCTTAAAACAGTTAAAAGACATATTTTATTTATCTAAGTTTTAATACAAAGTAGACTCTATAGAAACACGCATATACGTATTGTGAACAATAATATATATATAGAAATTTTGTTCAGGAAAAATTATAATTGTAAAACTCTATTCTTGTAAATCCTTAAAATAATTCAGAAAATTTATAATTTCTACAGTTTATTAACAGATTTTTGTGCTATAAGAAACGGTAAAAAAATTAAGCTACTTTGATTTATAACTAGTGTATGCCTGTCTTGATGCAATGGTTATTTCTGTAACAAATCAGTGATTACAATTTTTTTTCTAAAAATATTCTAACTTCGTTACAACATGTTCATTTATGGATCCTGTTTAGGTTCTTTTTTGCTTATATTTGGCATAATGTAAAAAAATATATGTTTAGAATGTACAATTTCAAAAACAATTGCTTTTCTTAGACTTTGCTAAATTTGGACCCCGAATGAAAGAATAGGCAAATAAAAACGATCCAAAAGTCAACCAACCCACGAGCAGCCGTAGTAGATTTGAATATCCGAGCCAGGTCAACCTTTTCGGTCCCAGCTTGTACTGTACCTAGCTCTTTGGACAGGACTAGCCGGTGCAAGAAGGTTTACGCGGTCAGACTTTATGCTTCATATAGGTTGAATTTACTTTTACTAAAGGGCCAGAGGTGCGTGAACCCCAATGCACATCGCGCAAAGCAGCATATTACCTGTGGTTTATCTAATGTAATACAGCTATTGAAGAACTGACGATCTCTCTCCTTCGCGACCTCTAGTGTAGCGTAGTCTGAAGCATGCTCAGGAGGCGTGGGGGCGTTCACCTATCCAACCAACCAATCAATTAATCAATATTTAACAAATTTATTAATCAATAGATAAAATAAAATCTCTTTTTAGAGTGGTATATTTTTTCTCTTTCTATTGAATACTTTTATTTATGAATTCTCTTTAAAAGTGACTTTTGTCAGAATTAAACACTTTGGAAGTCGTTTGAAATTACAATGACCTAGCCTTTATTTGATCACATTTGGCTCATCTGTCGTAGACAAAAAATCTGGTATGATATTTGTAAGAACATTTTTTAGGAAATTTTTCTGTAAAACTGAATTTCTTATGAAAGTATAAATACGACTGACATTTGAGAGTCCGATGACCTCACCGATGTTGTGCAAAATGAATGCTTGCAAAGATAGGCGACAAGAAAACTTGCAAAAAGATTTCGGAAGCTTAGACTTTTTCTTTGCACTTTTAATTTTTACCCAGCTTCCTTGTATATTAATCTTGATTTATGATGACCCACCCCCCACCCTCTTGGTGTCTAGCATCAACTATATTGATCTAAGAAAAATCGATAACTAGGTCTTCATCGAACATTCTGTATGTTTAGGTTTGTCAAAGTCTGGTCATATGTTTGTTGATGACATCATGTATGTCTGTTTTATATTTGTCAAAATCATGTTTTGTTGTCAATGTCTGTTTGATCATTATTTGTTTTTCAATGTTTGTTTGATCATTATATGTTCATTAATGAATGTTTTATGTTTGTCAATGTCTGTTTTCTATTTGTTATTATCTCTTTTAGGTTTGTAATTGTCTGTTTTCTATTTGTTATTATCTGTTTTATGCTTGTAATTGTCTGTTGTCTATATGTCAATGTCTGTTTTATGTTTGTAATTGTCTGTATTATGCTTGTAATTGTCTGTTTTCTATTTGTTATTTTCTGTTTTATGTTTGTAATTGTCTGTTTTCTATTTTTCAATGTCTGTTTTATGTTTGTAATTGTCTGTTTTCTATTTGTCAATGTCTGTTTTCTTTGTCAATGTCTGTTTAATTTTTTTCATTGTCTGTTTTCTAATTTGTCGGATTTATATGAATGAACGTTTTTATTTAATTGTAAACTGTAATTCAGTATTTAAAAAAAGAGTACTGTTTATTTACAATTCTTTAAAAGGTTTAAATACCCCTCCCCCCCCCCTCTCCCCCCGAATTACATAAAAATTTGTCAGATCGACCCCCACCACCACTTTATACACATACATCTAAACAGTTTGTTTTTAATCTTCCTGACAGAAAAAATCTCAAGGAATAATAATTGTCTTAAAACATTTTTTTAAAAGTGAATATTTGCAAATTTTTTTTTCTATCTCATAATCTGAGTTCGTTTCCCTTTTGTCCATTTGACAGCCCTTTTTTTAAATAATCTTTTTTATTTGTTTATTTTCTTGTGGTTTTTAACATCATTTTTTATTGATTTTGATGGTTATTATATCGTTAGAACTGACGAGGGTCAACCCAAACCGAAATATATATATCTACTTTATTTACTCTACAGAGGTTTGGTCCATCACCATCACCGAATTTTAAATTTGTATGTTTTATGTTTGACAAAATCTTGTTTAATGTTCGTCAATGTCTTTCAAATTTGTTTGTTTCAAGTGTCAATGTGTCTGATTTCACTTTTCAATAATTTTTTATGTTTGTCAATTTTCATACTTTTTGTTTGTCGATGTAAGTTGTCTTGTCTGTTTCTTTATTTTATGTTGTTTAATGTCTGTTTTTGTTTTTCAATCCACCTGTTTCATATTTTTCATGTGTCTATCTTTATGGTTGTCCTTGTCTCTTGAAGGTTAATCAATGTCAGTCAGGAATTTCTCAAAGTTTGTTTGATGTCTGTCAATTTGTATGTATTATATTTGTCAAATTGGCAGAAAATAAATAAGAATGTATGCATTAATTACTAAACACTCGGCCTTGAAATACAAAAACTTGTTTTGTAAAAAAATGTCAAGTTTTGATTTGGTTCCTCTAAGGTGACGAACTCTTCTCCTGAGCCAGGATGCCAGAGATGAGAGGAGGGGGGCGCCTCACAGCCCCACCCTAGGGTTAAGATGTCGGAATCTTCCATCATAGTAGGGTTAATACTTAATTAATACTTTTGTGTCAGCGATAACAAGACAAGAAGATGGCACTAAATAGTTTCACAATACTTGGTCGAAACAGGTAGCAGCGGCTGATGATATAATCGTGGAAGGATTGTTTTTACAGTGATGATATTCTAGAAAGTTCTCTTTTTGTACAATTCTGTTTTTAGCACTTAATAAATTTCAGACTTGCATATAAGGCTTAGATTTGTATTGTTCATGGACTTGAAGGCATATAGGATTGTATAGATAGATAGATAAATATCTCCGTTGATGGAATCTCAAAATTTTGCATCCATTGACTAGAAAAGTTCACGTGTGTTTAAAAAAGTTTATCTTCTCCTCTTTGGCACTAGTATCAAAAATAGTTTTAAATCACTGTAATAATATTTATACAATTATAACACTAGGAAAAATACGCGTTTGACTAGAAGCACTAATTTTCCCCCTTTTTGCACGAGAAATCCCCAGATCATCGAAGGGGAAATTTTTCGCACCTTTTCCCTGATTTTCTAAATTGTTCCTTTTGGGGATTTTTCTAGGGGAATTGTTGAAGTTCCCTACATGCCGGGATACGCTGCTCTAGCCACTGAAGCCAGCTCTCTCTCTTTCTCTTTTCAACCGGCTGACTCATTCACTTCATCTTCATCCCCTTAGGGGCTTCAAGTCCTGCCCATTTTTCAAACCCAAAAATATTTTATTCTTTTTGGAATTATAAAAAAAAGTTTTAACTTTTTGAAAAATTGTTTATCGTTGAGATTCCTTCAAAGCCCGGAGAGGGAATAAGTTTAAAGAGGGGGAAAACATATTCGCCGAGCATCGTATCGATCCCGCCATGCGGCAGTAGCTAGGGAAACAGCCTCCCCCCCTGGGGGGAGAGGAAGGGAAGGGGGCGGCCCGCCCTCCTCTCTCTCTCATTGAACACACATCACACACGCCATGACGACGAAGGAGGGGTGGATGTTGTATCGAACCCTCAAAACTATTCTAATCCTAGAATATTACAGGAGGAGAAAACAGGAGAATTCACGATCTTGAAAACCACTGCATGGGGAAATATTTATGAAACCATGGGGGAAAGGGGAATTCCCGTCTAGGCTCTCACGATCTTCAAGGGGGAATAATCCCCATAGGGGATATTCACACCTTCACCTGTTAATAATACGGGGATAACCAGGGGGATTCTGTTTGGGATATCCCCCTACATGGGATATCCCCCCTCCCCATCCCACCTGGAATAATGTCATCAGACTTCCTATTTATCTATAATATTTTGATTGTCGTCTTTACACACAATATTGGACATCAACGCGGGTAAAACTGGAAAAGATATATGGATTTTTTAAAAAGTTTCTTTAAAAACTCGTTTCTAATGTCTTAATATATCTTTATATATTCAATTTATTGTTCAATCAAAAAAAAACAGATAAACAGATATTTTCTTTATATATGTCTTTTTGTCTACATCTGTCTGTATATATATAATATATCTATATCTATACATGTCTATATAAGATTTTAAGTCTGTATGTCTATAGATCTGTATATGTCTTTTAGTATATACATTTCTATATCTGTCTATATGTCTAAACCTGCCTGTATGAATGAATGACTCTATCTGTATGTGTATATACATCTATATGTCTATATGAGTCTGCAATGTGTATGTATTGGTGTATATTCATGTATGTCTGTATTATATGTATTGAATATTTGGATTATGTCCATGTATGTCTGCAAGTCTATATCTGTCTATGTGTCTATGTGTATATGTCTGTATGTATGTGTATTTATACAAGGTAAGGTTCATGTTAACATTTATAATCCTGATTTCTTAAAAACTTCAAAAACACTTTAAACCTAACCAGAGAGAGATAAACATAAAGCTCGTTATATAATATGTACTTTATGTCACATAGATCCAGACTTCTATTAGAGGGTTGCATTAATTTCCAAAGCTGGGCCGACTTTGAAGTGTCGCAACGCCTTGGATTTTAACATAAAAACTTACTTGTATTGTTTTGTATCCCATATAGACATTTTAGAATTATCAAGCACTTGTTTTTAGCTTTGTTTTTTAAGAAGTAATATAAACAAAAAAATGCTAAAATCTGAATTTTGTATGTGAAAGTGAGCTCGTGTGTGAAGGTTTACTTACTGTCAAAATAGAACAACTGAATCAATGTGTTGGGTATCTAATTTAATAAACCATAAACCCACCAATTACGGGTCAACCTTTCCGGTCCCAGTTTGAACTGTATCTAGCTCTATGGACAGGACTATCCGGTGCAACAAGGTTGACGCGGACAGACTTTATGCTTCATATAGGATGAATTTACTTTTTCTAAAGGGGCAGAGGTGCGTGCAATATCTGAAACATTTCATTATTTGTAGGGACTTCAAAACAAAGATGTTCTTTTTAGTACAATTTGCAAGAACGTGTTAAACATTTTTGATATCGAAGAAAAAGAAAAAATTTAAAAAGAAAAAGCTTTTTCTTCTTCTTCTTCAAACAAAAGTCGCTGAATTGATTTAATTGACTTTTTTTTGGCAATTTGTTCGATGAGTGTACTTTTCGGAATTTTCAGTGCACTTCATAGTTTAACAGTTCAGTGATTTTTCATAAATATTTTTTCTTATACTTCATGAAATACTGAATGAAAATGTAAGAAATTTTCACTTTTTTTTCTTTTGTTGGCTATGAAACGTCTTTCTATAGACTGTATGGCCCAACACCGATTTAGCAACCCTTGAATAAAGGTAACATAATTTTGTATTCTACCAGTAGACTAATTTCGAGTAAATCTGTAAAAATTATCAATTTTAGTTTTGAAACAGAGCATTTCCAATAAATCTTCTTCTTTTTTGATTTTCTGTAAAAATTCCTCTCAGGAATGCAAAAAATATTCATAGCAGGAGATATTTTCATGATGAAAGACAGAGGGAAGGGGGGGAGTAGATAGATAGATTGATAGATATAGTAGCAAGTGAATGCCGTACTCTTAAAACTTCTTCCCAAACTGTATGAGTCCAGGTACAATTTGACCGCTATGAATATAAAAATGGACACGATCCACATGGCTGGAATCCCGTGAATTATCAACGCCACTACCACTGGGCGCGATCTCGTTAGCTATCGGTGTCAATACGGACACTAGCAATCAATTTATCAATGTTTCAAACAGGACACGATCCACACAGCTACAATCCCGTGAACTATTAACGCCACTACCACTGGGTGCGATCTCGTTAGCTATGTCAAATGGACAATAGCAATTAATCGTTAGCTCTAAATGCCACACAGAGACACAAGCGTAGCTATCAAACAAGCTCTTAATCGATCTGTACCAAATACCGAGGTACGATCGCAGCCCGAACGCAGTTCAAATGAATAATGGTTTTTATGTAGAAGTTTACAAACATAGATCATTAATAATGTATAACGTACTGCAAATTTACAGAATATCGTGTTACCTGATATTTATTACATATGTAGATAGATAGATATATTTGACTAAATATTTTCATAAAAAAAACAATCGCACAATTTTTACATTTTAATTTTGCCAGGAGGACCTCTTTAACTACCTTGTCTTTAACCATTGTCAATGCAAGTCGTTTTTTTTAATGAGAGGCACTTTTGCAGCGATAAATACAAACTAAATTAACTAAAGGAAAGGAAAGAGAGGTAGAGGAGAAGGAAAATGAGTGGATAGAGGAAAAGGTATTGAAGAAAATAATATGTGTATTTAAGATATTTTGCGAGTTTAGCACGCTTTGTTTAATTTGTAGTTTTTTAAAGTTCAATCCATTTAATTTGTTTAAAAGAAAATTATGCCAACAAAACACTTTGCAGGCATAAAAATATATAGAAATTCGTCCAAAAAAAACCTTAAAGATGAATAGAGACATAATTATTTGTTAGAAGCCCCGTACATTATTTACTAATGCATGAATGCCTCCGTACGAATAATGTTTAAAATTTAAATTTCTGTTCCTAGGTTTGATATGCAGCTGCACAAACACTTTTTTGTTATCAATCGTAAATTTGAAAAAATATTAATTGGATTAAATTCAAAACATTACACATTGGTCAGATGTTTCATAAATACGAACCTCTCATGTAAGCGCGCACGTACAACGTTTAATATGTATATAAAATGATAACAAGAGTTTTATTCGGTTACTTTTATTAGGCTTTTCCGGTTTGCTTTTTTGTGGTAACTCAACACACATTTTCATGCTTAAATAAATGCTAAGAAGGGCGCAACAAATTGTGTCCTTAATCAAACCTTTATATGTATATTTACAGAAAACAAAAATTTATTGTTTGATTATCAGAATTTTCGCAGGTTTGGTTGGAAAATATAAATTGCCAAATCAGCGCAGCTTTATTAAGGTATTCGAAGAGAAGGGTTAGGAAAGGTAGAGTAAGGGATTGGGAAAGAGAGTAAAAGAAGTAGAGGATAAGAAACTGTATAGGGCACTAGTTGTTAAGGGAAGGTTAGTGTATGAGTGTGTAAAAGAAGGAGAGGGGAGGTCGGGGTATGGGAGTGTAAGAGAAGGAGAAGGGAGGTCAGGGTATCAGTGTGTAAGGGAAGGAGAGGGATGCTGAGGGTTACAGGAAATTCGGAGGGCAAGGGAAGAGAAGTGGAGGATATGGGACGTGTAGGGTAAGAGAAGAGGATAAAGTATGGGAAGTGTGAAGGGTACGGGAAGAGAAGGGAAAGGGATGGGAAGAATGGGGTAAAGTATGGGAAGTGTGGTGAGAGCGTGGGAGTGTGGAGTAAAGAAAATTGGACTATAGTCTGAGCTGTGTATTACTACGAGGCAGGTATATAGAGTAAGGGGGAGTAGTCTGACCTACGTATTACTACGAGGCAGGTATATAGAGTAAGGGGGAGTAGTCTGACCTACGTATTACTACGAGGCAGGTATATGGAGTAAGGGGGAGTAGTCTGACCTACGTATTACTACGAGGCAGGTATATGGAGTAAGGGGGANTTTTTTATACATTGTTAATTTAGATAAATTTATCTCTCTCATACCCAAGAGAACTAAGAAATTGGTATTTTCTTAAAACATTCACGCTTTACAGCTTTCGAGTAAAAATCGAAATATTCCTAATATCAAAATGTTCTAACAAAAATGTAATTTCGCCTTTCTTGAAATCATCCGGGCAATGTCCCCGAAATTAAAATATCTGTGTTCCAGAAATAAAAATAAAAGTTTTTCCGATATCAAAATTGTGGTGTTCATTAAAGATTAAGATAGCCACGTTCCTGAAAAACAGCCGTTATTCTTAAAATCCAAATATCTATATGTTATCATGAAATCAAAATGACAGAGTTCCAGAAATCAAAATGGCGATTTTCCAGAAATCAAAATGGCGAAGTTCCAGAAATCAAAATGGCGATTTTCCGAGATAGGGGGAAGTCCTATCTAGGTCATTACCCGGAAAAGATTTGTAGGTTAAGTTAAATTCCACATATGTATTTGGAAATACGTATACTCATGTTATAATATTAGAATTTAAACCTTTATTAATAATGTGGAAGATATTGTCGTTTTTTTAAAATAAATAAATAGAGTTTATTATGATAAAAATCC